GAAAAGAGGCTGAAATGAGAAGGGTGACTGTGATTTGGCAGCACTAGCAAAAGACTTAGCTTTGTTTTCTCATCTTTGCTATTTATAGGTACAGGGATGAGAACAGTGTCTTCTACCATTTTAACCTATGTTTAAGAAACAGGATAAAAGGACGAAGAGAATTTTCTGGAAAGCACCCTGCTATTTTTCACCCTGTATTGACTCCAAACACATCACGCAATTTAGAAATAGAGGATAGATATATCATCTCTGTAGAAGTTCCCAAGCAAGGTCTGTGGTAATTTCAGTTGAGCATTTCTATAAGAAATATCCTGAATGCCTTCCTATTCCTCTTTAAGACAAACCATGACTTCTCAAGTAAAGCTCAGCAATTATGCAATGAATCCAATTGATATCAATTTGAATAATCCAGCCTACATAAAAACTCTCATGCTTTAGAAGAAAAGAGTTTGCCAGAATTATCCAAGCAAGTTGCTGCAAATCTCTTTTTACTTCCTATGTGTACTCTGCCTATTGATGGATTTACTTTATCTGGCAATCAATTTTAGTCATTACACTGGATGAACCTATAAATGTTGGAAGACGGTGTGTCCTGATCAAAAAGGAACTGGAAAAATGACCTCAGTGTCTGAAAATCTGCAGTATCATGTTCTCAAACAAATCACTGGCCAAGTCCCAGACTCAAGCCCGAGTTTATGATGTTCTATTTTGTAAAGTGGATCTTCTTTAATAATGACAGTGCAATTTCCTTTTCAAATGTTTGGTAGTAGGGTATCTCCAAATATCATGAGTATTAGAAGTTCATATCTGAGTTGTTTGAGCTCAGAAACAGTCAAAGGGGCTCACTGGATGACAAAGGACACGCCTATGGCCCATGTCCTTTTGGTCTGAGTCTTAAATACTTTAGAAAGCAACTCTGTTAAGTGGGAAGAATAATACTATCATCATTAGCTCACTCTTCTTCTAGGCTACAAAATGTGCTTGAACTATTTATAAACTTCTACCTAAAATTTCAGGAAACCCAGTTCTCGGATTTACTGTTTGGACTATGCACAAGGTGAAGTGCTCTGCTATTACTGACACACTTCTATGGATCAAGTTTTGATCTTGACCTCTAGATTCCTCAGAAAATGGCATTAGAGTCATTTTTTTTCCTTGTAGGCTGAATGATAGATATAAACTGTGAGACACAAAGATATTTTTTTTCATTCCTTCTATTAGTTTCTATTGTTTCCCTAGAGCTAGAAAAGTGAAAAAGTCTCCTTCTTTTGTATGACTCCTACTTTTGGGGCCCAAATTCTGTTTCTTCAGATTAGAGCAGACTAATGAGATCCAAAGAGAAGACAGCACTGGTATCATCCCAGCTGAGCATCAAAACGGCTTAATTGAGCTGGCTTGTGATCATTAAATAATAATATAAAGTCAGGGCTTTGCAGTTCAATCCACGTGGCTATCACAGTAATAATCTTAATTTCCTTCTTTCACAACAGGGACTGAGTAAGTTTTATTGTATTCAGGCCATAAAGCTGATTACTTCATTCAACACTGAAATGAGTTCTGAACATCCACGAGCACAGGGCTCTTACCTACATTCACAGTCCTCAGAGCTTCCAAAGAGCAGTAGCAGGCACAACCTGCTTACAAACCAAGTTTTGAACTCAAGGAAACCAAATCTAGAAGGAGACTGGGCAGGGTCGTTGGGAAGGAGATACAGTGCCTTTTCTAGCCAAATATGGAGGGATTATTTACTCTTGAAATCA